AACAAAGATACTTAATTGCCAATTGTTAAACATTAAAGACAATCAACTTGTCGGCCCGGCTTCTGAACTTGGACTTCCGTTTATTTAACTTTATTTTAGTTTGCATACATTGTTTGGGTTTCGAAAGCGATGCGAATTCATGTTTGAACTGTGTCAGCTGTGAATGAATTGATTAATCTCACAATACTGGCTGCAATCGGTTCGATGTAGATTGAATGGCTTTGGGTTTTGCTATTTTCGATATAGAAGCCCGCGCTCCAGTTTTCCCTTAATCCCCCATGCCTTTCGGGGCCATGCCAACACAATCTTAATCACGTAGTCTCATTAATTATGTCGCCGTCTTCCAGGGTCTTTCCAGAAATTTATGTCGCTTAATCTGCAGAGATATTCACGGTAACGGACGCTTCTGCCCTGGGGAATTATGGACAAGACATGACGGTTATATTTCTGCGCCCTTTTAAGCCTGCGACGACGATGCTAAGAAATTAGTGTGTTATGCCTTGGCCATGCTTTTAAATTGCCCACTTTACGCTTTACTGCTGTGGAACGTATGTAATTAGCGGACTTTTCCATGAACTAACTTTTCTTTCCAAACTTTTTTCATCCGGGACCTTAAGCAGTCGCTTTCCTCATATCTCCAGACTGATTTATGAAATTCTTCATAAGGGTGGCCAACCTAATTGGTCACATATTTGATTTTTTCATTAAATTTTATTTAGTTTCGCCTTCAATTACATAAAATTTGCATGGCGTAATTCTTTCTACACGCACACCTGGAAATATTGTTTTGAAATTCGGAAATGCGAGCTTTTGACACTTTTTACAACTAATCCTAATTGGAAAAATGGGGATTTTTTGTAATGTTGCGATTTCTTTTCGGAAACATCGAAATTTGCTTAGCTTGGGCAGTGTTTTTGTGCATTGGAAATGAGAAGCGAAAAACATTTGTTTCAAGTCATTAATCAGGAAAATGTCCCGCTTGGGACCCTCCCTGCCTTCAATAGGCTCCCCCAATAATGCACCCATGTATTCTATTATATTCTGCATTAATATAAGGGTAATTTGAATGCTGAATGTCTCGATTACACAACTACATTTCCCTTTCGAGCATGTCGCAGTAAATAATTTATATAGATGGCGACAGGAGGTTAATTTGAAATAGATATACCTCATGCCATTATTAATGGAATGGATGAAGTGGTTGTGGAATGGTTGTTGGTAAGAAAATTGCGGGCATTTTTGTTCGATTTAAGCTGCTGAAAATTGCGACACAAAATCAATGTCTTGGCCCAAAGTTCAAAGACCGAACGCATTAAGGCAAGAGTCAGAGTGTGTGTGTGTATGGCAAAAGCGGGCGGATTTCCCATAAAGCTAAATATAAATCTTAGCGCTCCCTTAGGCGGACCTGAAATATTAGTTACGAAATTAGGGCGTATAAAACTGTGGCAAATTTGGAAGATTAGCCGCACTTTGGAGATTGAACTTTCTCACGCGTGGAAAACGATGCCGACGTCGACGCCGATGTGTGCCGACGTCGCAACGTGGCATAATTCCGAAACCAAAAGTTAATGAGCGCGAAATCTGATATCAACGTTATGATAATTATTTAAATTCAATGAGCAGCATATAGAAATATTTTTGCAACGTTGCGAATAAATAGAAAACGGCAAGAATTTAAAAAAAAAATTATCGGGCTTGGTTTTACAGACTTCAAACGCGAATATGCATGGGCAAAAATGATACTGTTTAAAAATGTATTGGCGTTAATTTCGGTATTTATTGGAAAATCCAAGTGACTGAAAAAGCCAATCATCGTTGAAAATGTACGTTGATGAGAGCTTTTTTATTTCAGGCATCATATCAAGCACTAATAGAGTAATAAAATTCCCGTAAAAAAGCCATGAAACTTTTTCATTCGGATATCTCTTGCGCGATCACATGGACGATTGAGTCTAAATACCATGAAATGACTTAAAATATTTCGCTTTTGATTGTCAGCGTTTCACATTGCTATTTAGCATATTTGGATAAATTGCGGTCAACTTAAATCAAAATGTTAATTAGTACCTACAGATTTTAAATAATGTTGCTTGCTTTATGTTTTATGGCATAAATTTTCGAATCATTGCCATTTTACTTAACCTTTGTATATACATATGGCCCCTGAACAATTCCTGCGCTTCAAATTTATTATAAACGGAAACAATAAATTATGCCACTTGCTCCATAATTGTTACCATTGTTTTTGTGTATTTGCCAAGAAAAAAGGCGATAACCAGTGAAATATGTAACCGCAAATTGCTTAATTATACGGTCATCGTGTAACACCGGCATATACAAGACCAACATTTATTTTGATGTGGCTGTTGAAATGTTTATTTAAGTTAAAATAACAATCCTATCTTTTATCGCTCAGGCTGGTATTATTACAATCAAGGTAACTGAATATGGGAGAGCAGCTTTGAGTTTTTTTATAGCGGTTTGCGCAGGTGCTTGAAAATTTAGGCAGCATTTGCCCAGAAACACTCTTTTGGGGATATGTAGAGGAAAACCCTTAAATTGCCCTTTGTTGAAAATACTCACTGTTTGGTTGCTAAAGACCTTGCCTAAAATAGCCTAAAATAGCTGATTTTTGTTGCTTATTTCGGGTCTGAAGCCTCAAGCGTTTTCTTAATACACTGATTGAATTATTCGCTTCATTCAAATTAAAATCATGTAGAATTGAAGAAATTGTGGGAATTTTTTTCCAAAAAAAGACTGATGAAATTTTCTGTGAAGAATAAAAATTTCACATGCGTGTTTTTTGAGCTTACTTGACTATTTTCTACCTATGAAGTTTTCCAATGTGCATCTGCAAAATGTATGGGCCTATAATAATAAAAATATCGTTTGCTAAAAATCGCTACCGCTAAAAAACTACTTAAAATGTGCAAAAATCGTTGATTATTTCGGCTCTAAAGCATTTAGCGTGTTTTTCAACGAGTTCATTGCATTCCTCGCTCCCTTGAGCTGAAAATGATGTAGAACTTGTAGGATTTTGAGAGAATTGATATTTTTTCATAAATTCATGATCTAATTTAAGGCAGTTTAAGAGAATTGGTATCTTTTCAAAAAATCGACATGACTATGGAGTTTTTGATCAAAAATTTAACAAAATTGTCTGCGTGATTTTTCAGGCTGAAATTATTGTTTCCGACCTAGGCACTTCGCAATATGCATATATAATTTGTTATCGTCGATAATGAGTTATATTTCGTCGGTTAACAATCGTGAATTTGCGACAAAAATTTCGATTATTTCGGATCTAGAGCTTCTAGCGTGTATTTCAATCATTTCGTTGCATTTATCACATCTTTGAGAAGAAAATGCGGTAGAATTTCCGACATTTTTAGAGAATTGATATTTTGCATCAAATCGAGCTTTACCCCTTATGAAATTTGGACGCAAAAATCAAAATTTCGCAAACATGTTTTTGAGCTTTATGAGGATTATTTGCGACCAAAAAGTTCCCCAATGTGCACATTCGGAAGTGTTTGGGTTATGATAAGGAAAATATCGTCGATTGAAAATCGTGACTACTAAAAAACTTCTTAAAATTCGCCGAAAATATAAATTATTTTGTATCTAGCGCGAATGAGACAGTTGCTTTTCTTTCTCCATTGAGATGAAAATGATGTAAACTTTTTTTTTCCTTTCTGCAATTTTTCCTGCTTGGGTCTATAATTCTCCTTGTGAAATTTGCGGTTAAAAATGAAGCATTCGAGATGGATTTGAAAAATTTACAATTTTCCATTATTTCTAATCTGAAAGATCTATCATGTTTTTCGGGGAGCTCTTTATATTCTTTGATTCCTGGTGATAAAAAGGGAATATTATGTTTATGAAAATTATTAAAGTTTTGTCTAATTTCCGGTCAAGAACCTACTTTTCACATGTGTGGTTTTTCAGTCCGTCTTTCGTGCTCCTCAAAATGCAAGATGTTCCCCAAAATGCATCTGTAGAGTGTTTCAAGTCCACAATAAAAAATATATCGTCAGCTAAAAATCGTATCGCCCTAAAAACGCTTAAAATATGGCAACTATTTCTATTAGGTAGTTGGGATGCAAAGGATCTATGAGCTTAATGGATTCCTCGCTTCTGTACGCGGAAATCTATTTCGTATTAAAATGGTATTTTGAGCTATTAGATTGTAAACTGGACAGTGCAAATAATAATAATAATAATAATAATAATCTTTTGTATTTATTGGTGTCAAAACACTTTCATTTCTATGATCAGTTCCATTAAATAAATATAAAGTTTCTTCTATTTTCCATTCGAATAAACGAACAATTCGCAGAAAATTGACTGAAAGTGTTTCAGACAGTTGCAAACCCGATTGCGATCTACAGAGCAAAAAGGGCGATCAATCCGAATCTGCTTAAAGAACTAATTTGTGAAACTATTCGAAAACAGGAATAAAGAGTTTGGACAATTTTTGCTTAAATCAAACCGGACTATTTGCAATTAATATGCGTAGGTTAATCGATAAAATGTAGTTCTATCTGCTTAGTTTGAGATTGAACGAACATTTTTGAAGTGGAATAGTTTATAGAAATTTTCAGTTGGAACTTCATCTATTTTATCCCTTTGTGCAACGTGCAAATAACCCACTTCGGTTTATTCAACAGCTCTATAGTTGCTCTCATTCAGAGCATTTAAGCAACAACAGTTACTTTAAACTGGATAGCTAGAAAGTCGGCCAACTAAAGTGGAAACTACTTTTCGAAATGAGCTTCTTTATCTGAACGGTGCTCGACCCGATCTCCTCGAATCTAAATAGGTTATCAAGCATTCCACACTCGAAACCGAAAAATCAATGCATTAAACCCGTTTATTGCGGTTTAGAGGAAATGACGGGCTGCGCCCCTGCACAATCCACCCCATCCCGCGATTGAAGAGGGTCGCTAGACCGACGAGACGAACTAAAACGCCGCCAGCCCAAATATTTAGTTTAGTCGAAAGTCTTTCGGATCGAGCTTCAAGCTTCAGTTTCAGTGCGCGCTTTGGGCAAGCAAAGTAGCAGCTTGGCCGAACGTTCAGCTGTTTGTCGCAGTCGCGTGTCCGACAACGGTCAATTCTTCTGGGTGCGCGCAGAAGTGACGTTTTACTGTTGGATGCTGTAATTGCAGCTTAAACAACGTCCAGTTTCATCGGCCAACACACTTTTATGCACTCTGCCAGTGACAGTGTGGAATAAGTAACTGAAAATTCAGTTCGCTGAAACCATCGGAATAAGATTGTTTTGGATATTGCCGAGGGTAAATATTGGTGATTGATGGGCTTATTGGTTAGCCCCTTGAAGGATTATTTTTGTTTGGAACGTTTGGAGACCTTCTGAGTTGCTTTTCTTGCCCCAGTTTTAGACGGTTTCCTACGAGAGGATTTTAGAAAATTTCAGGTCGTGGTCTAGTTTTACACAAGTTAAGCAGCAAAAATGTTTGAAATTGTCACAACAGTAAACTAACATCGCCCACAGTGGTGATGCCAATTTAAAAGGTTTATATTATGTTTAGACCGATCAATGTTCCATACTTTCCCCAAACAACATTTTATTTAAATAAAACATGTTCTCCAATTAATCTATAAATACATTGTAGAGGTCGTTCAGCAAATTTCAATGCCCCATTCACATTCATGCAGGAGAAAATGGTAGCTACGTTTGTTTAAAATAAACATTTATTGGGTTTTAATTTCAATTGCTTTGAAATGGAGTTTACATACTGAACCAGAGAGGAAACAGAAAATTGCAATTTAATCCCATACAGAAATTGAATAAAACATTGCGATCAAAAATGCTAATGCAGTTTAATAAACTGTAATTGATTTTTTGTACGAAATCTGGAGCAGACGTTGCTCCAAAAACAACACTCTAATAATAGCAGGAGCACATCCATTTCAATACTGACCTGAAGGTCAACGATAAGGAATGTTTGTGTAAATCAATGGATTTTTTGCTTCCTGGAAGAACATCCAGTGATATTTAAAGATTTTATATCTGCGCCCAGCTCTGGATGGATAGAGCTTAATTCGGAAGACGTGCAATCCTGAATGTCAATGACATTCATCTTGCATTGCGAACATTGAATGCAGGCGCCGTCGGCGTATGTAAGACATCCGAGCTATTTTAACATGATTTATAGTATTGTACCAAACAACACGCTTGCTAATTACTGTGCCCATCAAATAATGAAAGTGTTGAATATCGCTGCAGCAATTTGCATGTTGTTTTCGTGACTTTTGCCCTGACGTTCTATGAGTAATAAGCATTAAAAAACGTCTATGAGTAATGCTTAAAATTGCCGGAATAGCATGAATAAAGTGCACTTTTCTTTTGCATAATATGTGGAGTTTGCGGCTAGCATCCATTTTTGGATTATCTGGTTTCCTGCTTCGTAACAGTTTTCAACTTTTTCGCTGTGAGCCATGTAAGTAGCTTTCCATATTCTTGGTGAATCCGTCCCAATGTTTCTACTTGATTTCTCGAATTCTGTTGTTTGTCTTGTTTCTTTCAACAAAAATCAGCTCTCGATCTTCGTTGCTTCCCAAGCTCCTCCACGTGATGAAACGCCTCTTTTTCTCTTCAGGCAGTATTTTTACTTCCGGGGAAAACCAGGGTGCTCGATGTGAGCCATCACGTCGTATATTGACCTTTGTTGGTGAAATAAATGATAAAGAACAACACAGTACAAAAGCAGATTTCCGAACACGAGAACGATTCTGTATCAGCAGCGATTTGACAACGACTAACTAAAAAGGTTGCTCTCGCGATAAACAAAAAATTATACTTGCCTAAGCAATATGGCTTAGTGGTACACTGTGGTCCATAATATATATGGCTGAACTTATATTGATAATATTAAAAGCATTTTGATTATAGTCTGATTCTAACATTCCCTCTTAATCTATATGCTATTTAATATAAATCAATTTAATCAAACATTAAACAGAATTTTCTGCATTGGTTTAATTCTTTTATGGTGTTTACAGCCTTTTGCTACAAGGCGTGCTTTGCAACGCGATATGTCACCATTCGAATTTGTTTTCACTCGATACACCCACTTATTGTCTATCACTGGATGATTCTTTGGCTTTGGAAATTATTCCATTTCTTGCTTCATTGCTTCTGTCCATTCTTCATTTCCGTGTGACTGGATTGCTGTTTGGTAAAAGTCTGGAGTTAAAATCGAACAATATATGGCTGGTCCATAGGAATCAGGTCGCTTTAAAAGGTTTCGTTGACGTAGTTGTATCCGGTCGTCTTCTTCGTTATTTTCATTTTTAGTCTCTAGATCGGGATCATTTTCTTCGTCCTTGATTTCAGGAACCACATTTTCATCAAGTTGGTAATGGAGAGGAAAATTCAAAACGTTATTATTTTCTTCATTGATTCCTTCAAGCTCTTCTTCGTTAAAGTTTACATCACAGCTGATTATTCTTCTTTTATTTTTGTCCCATAATCGATAATTATTTGACAATGCATCATATCCCCCAAACAATAACTTGTTGTTGCTTTTTCGGTCCCACTTTTTGCGTAGCTGAGTTGGTATCGCCATGTAAGCTGCACATCCAAATACTCTCAAGTGCTTTGTTTCAGGTTTTCGCCCTAGAAATGCTTCAAAAGCTGTAATTTTCTTTGTCTGATTCAATGTTGTTCTATTCAATATATACACGGCAGTATTTACCGCTTCAGACCATAATTCTGTAGAAACATTTCCATTCGACATCATGGAGCGTGCCCAGTCAACTATTGTTCTTACTTCCCTTTCCGAAGAACCGTTTTGTTAAGGTGAGTAGGGTGCCGATCTCTCATGCGATATTCCCTCTGTTTGTAGATATTTTTGAAAATGTTTATTGATATATTCAGTCCCATTATCAGTCTTAAAAACTTTAATTTTATTGGCAGTTTGGTTTTCGATCAACGCTTTATATTATTTAAAGCGCGCAAACACTTCACTCTTCTGTTTCAGAAAATAAGCATTTCTGTATCCAGTACACTCATCCTTGAAAATTACAAAGAAACGTGATCCGCTCGGTGAGTCAACGCTCATTGGACCACATACATCGGAAAGTATTTTATCACCAGGTTTCTCTGCTTTAATTTTCGTGACGTGTTTATGTGATTTTCGGGTTTGTTTTCCATATTGGCAGGCTTCACAGAAAACTTCATCTTGACCAGCAAGTTCCAAATCACATACAGCGTTGTGTTTGTTCACATAAGTTCACATAATTTCAACGAATTGGTTTTTGTTAGACTGCATTCTTTGGTGTTTACTTTTAGAAGCATATACCATAAGTTATCTTTTCTTTTTCCTATGCATGAAATGTTGCCAGCTTTTCTTGGCAGAATTTCTTGTCGGTCATGGCTCCTACCGAAAAAAGGCTTCGTTTAAGATCAGGAACATAAAGTACATTGGTCATCACTCTGTCATGCCACTTGTTATTCACTTGAGCGTGTAGACTAATTGTACCTTTAGCTGTTGCTTCGATAACCTTGTCGTTGGCTATTTTCACTAGTACTGGCGCATCTAATTTTTCAAGTTTTGAAAAATATTTCAGTTGATTGGTCATGTGCATGCTTGCACTTGAATCGCAAATCCATTCTTACGCATCACTTTCAGAGCTTGCAGAATAAAAACTTGACAAGTCACAAATATAAGCAGTATTTGACTTACTTGAATTTCTGTTTTTATTTTTCAATGTCCTTTCTTTTTGCAGTAATTGCAGTTGGTGTTTTCCTTAATTTCACTTATTGACTTTTTCTTGTTGCTTTTAAGTGATTGTTCATCGAGTTTTGCCTGTAAGACATTCACCTGCAGTGCCAAGCGAGTAGTCTCGTCATCTGTAGCTGTCATTCTTGATTCTTCTTTCAAAAGTCGAGCTGTTAGATTCGTGAAGGTCTGATCACTCG